CAGAGGATTTGGTAAGTGATGGCTGGGCTGATTTCTTTCTATCTCACACTTTAACGTGTGAAATCCTAGAAGACAGAGCTGCTCAAGAATAATTAACTTCAGGGGCTTGCCTGGTGGCGCAGTGGTTGAGAGTCCGCTTGCCGATGCAGGGGACGCGGGTTCGTGCTCCGGTCTGGGAGGATCCCACATGCCGCAGAGCGGCTGGGCCCGTGAGCCATGGCCGCTGAGCCTGCGCGTCCGGAGCCTGTGCTCCGCAACGGGATAGGCCACAACAGTGAGGGGCCCACGTACCGCAAACAAACAAACAAACAAAAAAACCCCAAAAGAATAATTAACTTCAGATTAGGGTGTTTATAAAGACAGAGCAGTCTGTGGAACTGTTGTGACGTGTGCACCTTGGCCTTGGGCTGTGGGTAGAAGGTCCTCCTCTGATGGGGCCCCAAAAGGCTTCCAATAGGGTCTTCTTCCATCACTCAGTGCTTCCAACGTGACCAGCTTGGAGCACATTCTGCTTTGGCCTGTGGACTGGCATGAGGCTGCCGGCATCCCAGAGCAGCTGCCAGACTAGAGGACTGAGCTCTTCAGCCACAAGAGGCCTTGCCACCTTTGCCAGACTCCTGGGGGGAATTTTCCATGCAGCCAAGGAGTCAGTACTGGTGGGAATTATCGCCTCTGGGCAGAACTGGTTTTCCCAAGATGCAGGTCTGGGCAGAAAAGAAAAGAAAGAGTGGAATTTTAAACCCCAGGGGCCACAGACCAGAGGAGGCACATACCCGAAGAGCCCTGTTTTCCATCTAAGTACCTGCTTTTGCTTGTCCACAGACACATTGCCTCTGTCTTTCATTTCTGAACTCTTGATCCCAAGAGCTTGCATTATTTGCACAGTTGCCATGAGGCCTCCAGGCCAGCAGGAGGCAGTAAAGAGCCTTGGAGGGGCGCTTTGCCAAGTGAAATTCTATAAGCCCTGACGAGACAGTGTCCTCGTTAAACAAGGATTTTCTTCTCAGTTCCCTCTACTCGAGAGCCCCACTTTGTCATTCCTGGGTTGCTGGTCCATCTGCTGGCCAGCACACTTAGCCAACTCTAGCCTCTCAGCGTGACGCAGGGGGCTGTGCAGAGAAGAGAGGACATGGTCCTGGCTCCCAGGACCAGGGGAGATAAAAACACTGACCAGATACTTATCTTAACAGTTTATGAGTCCCGACTTGTGGAGCCGTCCTGAGTCCTCCTGCCTGGCCTCCTGGGCACTCGTACCTGGGCCCACATCTTAGCAAGTCTCTTCTGGGAGCGCGGTTGCTTGTTTGTCCTCCTGTTCTCTGGCCATGCGTAAGGTCTTCGAGGGCAGGGGTCGCGCACGGGGAGCCCATCTCTGCATCTCCAGGCATAGGAAGCGTAGAATAGGGGCTTAGCACTTGTGCTCTGGGGCCAGACAAACCTGGATTCACCTCTCTGGATTCAGTAACTGCCAAAAGCTTTCTCTATCTCCCTCGTTCAGCATTTTCGTGAAAAATGAAACAAGGGGACACATCAGCAGTGCCTGTCCCACGGAGCTTCTGTGAAGGTTCTAGAAGGTGATGCTCGTGAAGAGCTTCACCTGTGCTTGGAAGACGGCAGGGGCTCAAAAGAGTTACTTCCTCTGCCCCTTCCGTCTCCCCCTCCTTCCCTCCAGAGCTTCACACAGTGCTCGGCACAGAGAAGGTGCACATAGAACGTTAGTTGAATGACTAAGGAAGTGACTGAATTAAAAACCAACTGAGGGGGCTTCCCTGGTGGCGCAGTGGTTGAGAGGCCGCCTGCCGATGTGGGGCACACGGGTTCGTGCCCCGGTCTGGGAAGATCCCACGTGCCGCGGAGCGGCTGGGCCCGTGAGCCATGGCCACTGAGCTTGTGCGTCCGGACCCTGTGCTCCGCAGCGGGAGAGGCCACAACAGTGAGAGGCCAGTGTACCGCAAAAAAAAAAAAAAGACAAAAAAACCCCACCAAAAACCAACCGAGGCCCAGTCATATGGCTCATTGGGACCCCGAGATAGTTGGGGTCTGGACACAGGGGGCGATGTCTGCAGAGGAGCAGGACCAGCCCCCAGGGGGTAAAATCCATGTTGAGGAAGCAGTGGTTTCTCACGGCCCCTTCGTGAGGGGCCCTGAATGATACCCTTTTACTGAGGGTGTTGCTATGTCAGGTAGGGTTGCTCACTTAAATAACTTAATATTGGAGGATTTAACTGTCACTTACCCATATTTCAGTGAATCCATCATTACGTTTCGTTGGAGTTTGAGGCTCGTGAGCTCAGCTCTTTTCCATCTGTGAATTTTATTAATTTCTTATTCCTTTCTGCTTTTTTTTTTTTTTAAAAGTCAAGCCTAATTCTTTTTTTTTTTTTTTTTTTGCGTTATGGGGGCCTCTCCCATTGCAGAGCACAGGCTCCGGACGCGCAGGCTCAGCGGCCATGGCTCACGGGCCCAGCTGCTCCGCGGCATGTGGGATCTTTGCGAACTGGGGCATGAACCCGTGTCCCCTGCATCGGCAGGCGGACTCTCAACCACTGCGCCACCAGGGAAGCCCAAGCCTAATTCTTAATATTAGTAGATTCAAGAACACAGCATTTACTATGAGTTTTACTATTGTGGTTAAATGTGCGTATTTTGAATAACATATACACGTGACATTACATGTGTAATTTTAAATCACATAAAGTGTACCATTCTAACCAGTTTTTTAATTTTTTTGCGGTTTGCGGGCCCCTCACTGTTGTGGCCTCTCCTGTTGCGGAGCACAGGCCCCGGACGTGCAGGCTCAGCGGCCACGGCTCACGGGCCCAGCCGCTCCGCGGCATGTGGGATCTTCCCGGACCGAGGCACGAACCCGCATCCCCTGCATCGGCAGGCGGACTCTCCACCACTGCGCCACCAGGGAAGCCCCGTTCTAACCGTTTTTAAGTGTACAGTTCGATGGTATAAAGTACAGTCACAGAGCTGTGCAGCCATCACCACCGTCCGTCTCCAGGACTTTTTCATCTTCCCCAACTGAAACTTTACCCCCTGAGAACCATCATTCTACTTTCTGTCTCTATGAATTTGACCATTCTAGGCACCTCACAGAAGTAGAATCATACAGTGTATGTCCTTTTGTGACTGTCCTTTTGTGTCCTTCTATTTCACTTAGCATGACGTCTTCAGGGTTCATCCACGTTGTAGCATGTGTCAGAATTCCCTTCCTTTTTTAAGTCTAAATATTTCACTGTGTGTATATGTCACATTTTATTTATCTGTTCATCTGTCAGTGGACAGTTGGGTTGCTTCCAACTTTGAGCTAGTGTGCATAATGCGGCTATGAACATGGGACCACTGATAGATACTTGAGTTCCTCCTTTTCCTCCCTGCTTTTAAACTTGCTTGGGAGGGTCAGAGCAGCTTAGATTTGTCGGCTGGGAGGGCTCATCTGTCTAGGGCCCCCTCCTCCTAAAATGCAGGTCCCGAGCCCTGGATCGGTCCTGCTGGCCCACTCCAGGCATCTCCTGAGCACCACGGTAACGGGACCTGCAGTTCCTTCTGGTTTTCCCTGTCGTGGAGAAGGGCAGTGGCACAGATCGCTAGAAAGAGGCAAGGAGAGGTTTGCTTTGGCTTTGGACGCACTTAGCTTTGATGGAGGGGTGTTCCAGTTCCCGAGTACGTGTTGATTCGTGTCAGGGGCTGTAAACCAGTTGGAGGCAGCACTACGCTAGTCAGCGGTCTGCACTAGCTGTGACAATCCTCAAAATCATCCACGTTGTCACTCACTAAGGATTGCATGGTTCTAAAGGTCATTCCAAAGAACTCAGACAGTGCTGGTGGTGGTGCTAAGCGGTTAGGGACTTGGACCCTGGAGTTTGATTGCCTGGGTCCAAGTCTTGGCTCTGCCATTTACTGATGCTCCGGGCACGTTACCAGATCTTTCTCAGGCTCACGGTTTTTTTTTTTTGTTTTTTTTTTTCATCTGTTAAAGTGGGAAGAAGAATAATGTCTACTTGCTGGGTTTGTTGAGAGGGTTAAATGAGATAATGGATTCAAAACCCTTAATACAGTGCCTGATGTATGGTTAAGCTGCACGTCAAACATTAATTACTCTTATTATCATCTCTGCTTTTATTCTTACAGCCATCTCCCTTTATCCAGCTTTGGTCATGACCCAGTAAGTACGAACCTCAGACAGAGCCTGGTCTGGGCTGGGTCTTTCGTGCATTTTCCATTCAGTTACTCTCTTTCTGCAAAACCCTGAGATCAGCTCACCCAACGTGAAAGCTTGCTGAAAGCTCTGACACCTTGTAAAGCCTCACTCCTTCCTAATAACTTTCTATAGGAGTCAGGGGCCACCCGGAGTGTTTACGCTCTGGACCCGAGGAGCGGGGAAGGAGTGGTGGCTGCCACTGGCTTTGTGAGCTCCCAGGCAGCCAAGGCCAACTGGAGAGGTCAACCCCACCAAAGGAAATTTCGTCCGGCTTCCACGGAGTAGGAATATTAATCTGACACGAGGCCAGAGCAGGCTGGAGCAGAGGGAGATGAAATAGTGGAGCAGGAATGTAGTGCTCTCTTGGTGGAATCAGGCAACGGATGGCTGCAGCAAATCAGAACCAGATTTTTGAACATGGCTCGGATGGTGGTGGATAGGGAGGTGGTGGTCGTGCCTTGGGGTCCCCTCCGCTTCTCGCTAGCAGCCCTGCCCTGGGGCCACGTGGGTCCTTTTCTTCACCAAGCTGGGGAGAGAGAGTGGGCTTGTGGACCTGCCTGCTGGCTTCCTTCCATTTTTGTTTGGTCCATTTTCTGTCCAGATGATCAAGAGCAGCCTGTGGGCCCTGCGTGTTGTCCTAGGCCACGGGTCGTTGAGAAGGTCCTAAATAATTGCTGTTTCCTTCCAACGCACCTTCCGGAAGCAGGGGCTGAGCACCTTCACCAGGGCCCCCGGGACAGCTTCCGGGTGTTGGAGTTGCTTCTGTCTGCTCCCCGCCTCTGGATGATGCAGAAAATGCCGGCTGTCCTGGGCCGGCACAGAGATGGCCTTGGACCCTGGTGATCTGACCTGGACCTCAGGCCACCTTGCCCTCTGCAGTGAGTGCTGTTCATCGGGAGATGCGGCTCCAGCAGCAGGAAAGATGGGGCGGGGGTGGGGGTGGGGCGAAAGGACATGGTTTGCACTTGGCGTGGCGTCAGCCTGCATGTGTGGCTGACCAGGTGGGCGAGGATGACACTGAAATCCAAGCTGCTGCTCTGAACGGATGCCGGTCATTTCATGCTCGTCTCTCATGAATTTTACAAGGTCCTGTGGCAGCAGCCCACGCTGGCTGTGATCTAGTGCTTCCTGGCAGCGTGACGGGTGACAGGCCCAGATTCGAAATGCCCTTCCCTTGATTTACTGCCGGCAGGGCCGTATGAAGTCAGAGTTAAGTGGTCAGGGTCTGGGGGTGGGCAGCCGGGTTTCCCATTTCCATTTTTTTTTTTTTTTTTTTTTTTGCGGTACGCGGGCCTCTCACCGTTGT